CCCACACAGCCAGACGTTACCGGCAGTGTCTGAAACACCGGTGGTGTTAGCAGACGCGCGTAGCGAAGGGGACTGTAAGAGCTGCCCACCCACGGGTGGTGTGACGGTGGGGTTTTCCCTTTTGCTTTTCTAGGAGGATGAGGAGGATGTCAGTTCGTTTATTCTTAGCCCCGATGACGAGGTACGTGTCTGCTCTGTGGTTTTGGTCGCTGTCAGGCTTCTGGATGAAGCCGGTGACCGCTGATGGCTGCGCGGCCTGGAGAGCAGCTCTGCGGAGAGGGACTGGGAGTGCTGGGGGACGACAGGGTGACCATGAGCCAGCAGTGTGCCCTGGCTGCCAAGAAGGCCGATGGGATCCTGGGGAGCATCAAGAGGAGTGTGGCCAGCAGGGCGAGGGAGGTTCTCCTCCCCCTCTGCTCTGCCCTGGGGAGGCCCCATCTGCAGTGCTGTGTCCAGTGCTGGGCTCCCCAGTTCAAGAAAGATGAGGAGCTGCTGGAGAGAGTCCAGCGGAGGGCTACGAGGATGAGGAGGGGACTGGAGCAGCTCTCCTATGAGGAGAGGCTGAGGGAGCTGGGCTTGTTCAGTCTGGAGAAGGCTGAGAGGGGACAGGGTGACGGAGCCCTGGCCCAGGCTGCCCAGGGAGGCTGTGGAGTCTCCTTCTCTGGAGATATTCCAAACCCACCTGGACGTGGTGCTGTGCAGCCTGCTCTGGGTGACCCTGCTTGGGCAGAAGGTTGGGCTGGGGCATCCCCAGAGGGCCTTGCCAACCCCTGCCATCGTGTGAGTGTCGTAGCAGCTGGCATTTCTGTGCTTTGCATCTGGGCGCTGAAAGAAATGAAGATCTGGTCGGTAGCTAATGATGCTTTCCTTCGCCTTGCTTTTGCGCAGATCCTCGTGACAGGGAGCCGAGCCCTGCTGCTGAAGCAGTGGAACTGGCGAGAGAGCAAATGTGTTCGCACGTGGAAAGCCGTGCACACGGCACCGGTTGCTAGCATGGCCTTTGACTCTACTTCCACGTTGTTAGCCACAGGTACTACGGTCCTGCTTCAGTGTCACGCGGCGGGAGCGATACTGAGGGGCCCTTCTGCTTTTGGGTAACTTAGCGCAGCTGGACGCAGCCCGAGGCAGTGAGCTCTGGAACTCAGACACCATCAGCAGAGGTTTTACTAAAGTAGAAGTGGCGTTGTGATAGACAGTGAGGGCACCTCTTCAAGTTCTGTCTGAAATACTCTCAGTAAAATGATGATTAAAAGCCAGGCATCTATGGGACAGTGTGGTGTAGTTATCCCAGTGCAGAACTGGGGCTCCTGGAGGTGGCCAGGCATGAGCTGTATCTTGATTGTACTTCAGGATTCTTGTCTGGGAGCAGTCAGGTTTTGCCCAGCTCTCTGAAAGCGCAAAGTGCTCTGCGAGCTTCTCTCGGTGTGGGTGGTTGTCAATCAGATTCATTTTTCTTTCTGCTGCCTTAGCAAGCCATGAAATTTTAGAGTTGCTGACGCGTTGGACCTCTTGTGTCTCTCCTCCGTAGTCCGTTCTTACATGCCCTTCTTCGGCAGGTGGCTGTGACAGCACCATTAAGATCTGGGATATGATCAAACAGTACTGCACGCACAACCTCAGAGGGTCCTCGGGAGTTGTACAGTAAGGACGAGTCGTGTTTGTCAGTCACTGGTGTGGGCGTAATGCTTGGCCGCTGGGGTTGATGTGACGGGTCCTGACTTAGCAGAATGTAAAGGCCCGATCCGAGCAGGCTCTGGGCTCCCCTGTTTCCCGGTTTTTGGGGTGTCTAGTGAAGGAGCAAGGCTATGACTGCGTTTAACCCAGAGGGGGAAGAGTTTGGTGAAGAAACGGGTTGGGATCTGAATGGAACATCTGTGCTTGCACACTGATGCACTTCAGGAACGTGCAAGGCTGACAGAGAGCAGCTGTAAATTTTCCTGGCGGGTGGCAGAGGAATGAAGTCCTACAAGGAAAGTCCTGGTACAAATTCACATCGCTTGATCTGCCAAGCTCTTTGTGTGAATTTGTGTTTACTGAAGCACTGGGCTCACGCCGGGCAGTTTATTCTGTCCCCTTCAAGTCTGTCTCTCTCTGTCCAGCCTTGTCGAGTTCCACCCCGATACCTCCCGTCTGCAGCTCTTCTCCTCCTCAATGGACTACAAGATCCGCATCTGGGACCTGAGCGCCGGCAAGTGCGTTGCCGTGCTGGACGGCCACTTCAGTGCCGTCACCTCGCTGGCGTTTGCTGATGGGAACACGCTCGTTAGGTAAAAACCCATCAGGGGCTGAGCCTTCCTCTCCCGTTCGCCCTGCCTGCTGCCAGAGACGGGGTGTTTCGGCAGGCGCTGGGAAGGTTCCCCTGCGAGGGGAAGGGCTGTGACAGGCGTGCAGTCTCTGCTTGACCACACAAGCCAGTAGCTGAGGGGGTCGGCAGCTGTGTTTCTGGCTCTGTGCTGTGCTGCCATGTGGAGGGCTGGTGCTTTCTTCCACGTTTGGCCTCTTCAGAGAGGTGTTGGGCTCCTACAATTCCAAATTTGCACTCGGAGCAGAGGTTGAGTGGATTCAGCACTGAAACTGCTCTTTTAACTTGCAGTTCTGGCCGTGACAAAATCTGCATGGTGTGGGACCTGGAAACCAGAGAAAGCAAACGAACCGTCCCTGTCTACGAGGTGAAACTGCGTTTCATTTGTTCCCGTGAGCTCCTTTGCATCTCCTAGGTTGCTGTTCGTATGGTAGCCCTCCCTCTTTACGTTCCCATATATTATGAAATCGGGTTTCTCTCCTTTGTACTTTCCAGAGGTCTTAAAAGTCTGTGTCTGTTTGCTTTCTCTCCTTGCCTGGCACGGTCGTGCCTGGGCAGTTTGAGGAAATACATAAATATACGGCACCGCTGCCCCGGGGCTGGAGGAGGAAGGAAGGGCAGTCCTGTAAAAGCCTTGCTCTGTTGTTGTGCCTGCCTGCCCTCGGCAACCACGTGGTGGGAGTGTGTCTGTCCGTGCTAGCAGCTCTGGTTGCTGCAGTGGGACTCGGTTGCTTTGCGCTCAGCTGGTGCTTGGCCACCTCTCTTGCAGAGCGTGGAAGCTGCTGTCTTGTTACCTGAGAAGGGCGATTTCTCTCAGCTGGGCGTGAAGAAACAAGGGCTGCA